GCATTGTAAAGTACATTATTTAAGTTACTAACCAGTTGATTCACTCAGCCATATCCACATCTTCATCATTTTCTCCCAATAAGCAGTTTTCCTTATGTTTCTTTCTTGCAACTAGGCCCTATATCATCTTTTTGCACTGCTTACACTTGACTTATTTTCCTTTTTTTACCCAGAGAACGAATTTCTTCAAAATTTCCCAGATAAGGTGTTATGGCTCCTTCCCCACTCTGGCATGATAAATGCAGAATTGGGGCCAGCAAAAGTACCCCAAAACCCTATCTACCAGGCTTTGGTATCAAACTTCCCCTTCCCCCCCAAAAATTAAACCAGGACACACAAATTAGCCAATACCAGGTTAATAAAAAGAAAAGAGAAAGAACTTTTATTATCACCACAGTATTTTTGTTGCAAGCATAATGACTAGATGGAACATTAACAAAATAATATACTCGTGGAGGAGAAACTTACCATGGGCCAGGATCTTAGTTACAAAGGAGAGCAAAACCCATTTTTAAATGCACAGACCAGATCCCATTTCCCAATCCATAAAACAATAAAACCAAATGATTTATCTAAACTTTATCCTACTTACAGACTGTGAAGAGTATTTTCTCAGAGGGAGACATCCTGTCCCCTTCAATAGTTGAAACGAAAACTAACCGGAGACAAAGGAGGGAAACCCCAAAATTCCTTTGTTCTAGTTTGAAATTCCTACCTACATTCCTATTGGCTAACTCTACCTGAGCTAGGTATAGTTAATCTCTTAGTCCCCAGGCTGCTGGGTAACCCTCATGATTGTGACATAAGGTCTCTCTGAAAATAGTGTTCACAGAAGACCTTGAAACAGAAGCTTTATGTCCACTCTAAAAAGCTTTATGTACACAGAGAACATAGCTGCATTAACTGGGAATTAAATTACAGACTTTTGTTAATTTCAAACTCAATACATAATGAAAGGCTTGTAAAAAATCCTGCTTATTTAAAGCAATGGGTTGTGGGAAAGGTACTGGCTTAAGTGTTTGACATCACTATGCTTCATGGGACTTCACTTTAGCAATTATCCTCCTGCTCAAAAGTAGTAAACTTTCATATCTACTTCATTATGTACTGCACACTTAAACATTAAGGGTATGTCTATATAGCAAAGTTATTTAGAAATAACAGCCGTTATTTCAAAAAAACGTTAACAGCGTTTACACAGTGAAACCGGACCTGAACAAAAACATTTTGGAGGAAACCTTTTACATTGAAAAATGCAGATTTGAATCAATGAACATATTTTGCAAATTTGTGTCAGCCCATCAATTTGTTCTCATAAGAAAACTTCGAAACAAAATTTTAAAAATGAAATGTTTCATTGTGACATTTTGAAATGAATGGGGTTTTTTCAATTCAAAATGTGTTTTGTTATTGAACCACTCTGGGCACAACCAGGGAAACACCTCTCCCTCCAGTGTCCATGATCTCCACACTAAATGGAGGAACCCAACCGTCTACAGGCAGATGGCTGTCAGCCTGGCCACTGAAGGCCACATGCAAACCCAGGAGCAGGTTCGTATGAAAATAAAGGAGCTGCGGCAGGCCTATGCAAGGGCCATAGGGGGCAGCTCCCAACCAGGGGCAGACCCAGACCCCTGCCCCTATTTTGATGCCCTGGACTGCATCCTGGGGGGTGTGACGGTCTGTGCCCCCAGGGTGGTCATCGACCCTGGGGCAGAGCTTGCTGCCTCCTGCCGCTCCAGCCCCTGCTGCTTCCCCAGCTACTGCGCCTCCTCCCACTCCTTCCCCCCCTCCCATTTCTTCCTCCACACCCTCCCCACGCCCCACGGATGCCGAGGCCCCTGCACCGCGACCCCCAAACCTGACCTTCTCCTCCTTCCTCCCCTTGCCTTCCCCTGCCAGCTCCCTCCTCCCAGGTTTCCTCCTCCCGTCTCTCACCTTCTTTCCCCAGTCTCACTTCAGTTTCATTCCCTCCTCTACCTCGGTTTTGTTCAATAAGGAGGCTTTGTTGTAATGAACATGTGTCTTTTATTGTACAGCAGGAAGAGGGGTTAGGGAGGGGTAAGTGGAGGGACGTGAGGGAGGAATGAGGCACAAGTCCCCAGTGGGGCACACCAGGAAGACTGTTACTACCTGCAGAATGTGCTGCCAGGCTCACAGCAACACGTCCAGGAGAAGCACCAGAGTGCCCAGGGGTGGCTCCGGCTCCGGCTCCATGCTGCAGAGTGCTGTTGTGTCCTGAGTGAGGGCAACCAGAGCGCGCACAGAAATAAATGCTTTGCTGTCCCTCAGTGAGGTAGGCAAGCAAGAAGGGGAACCTGAGAACCAGCTGTCCAGGGGGTCCCTTTAAGCACAGGCCTCAGCCTCAGGCAGCAGCCACACAAGGTAACTCCTGACCTTATGCCCTGCCAGAACCAGTTCTGGCCGGCCTTAAATGCGATTCAGCATCCTATCAGTGTGGATGCGCTATTTCGAAATAGCAAAATGCTATTTTGAATTGCATTTTGTGTCTAGACGCGTTATTTCGAAATAAGTTATTTCGAAATAACGCTGCAGTGAAGACATACCCTCAGTTTCAGAATAATTAACTGTTTTTTTGGGAGATGCTCAAAAGTGCTTACAGGACGTCAGAGTAAAAGGTAATGGGATTATTAAATTCCTTATTTGCTTTTGAAAATCTCCCTCTACAGTATTCAATATCAATATAGCCAGAATTTAACAAAATTGATCAGGTTGTGAGGAAAACGAACTTGGTTCTTAAGTAAAAGAGATCTTGCCTGCAAGGTCTTGTCCTTCTCCTTGACTTCCTCCCTGTTTTTCCCAATCCTTATGTTTTTCTTTTAATTAACAAAAAAGGAGATGCAGTGCATTAGTCATTCCCTCTGCAATCTAACACTTCCTAAAACGGATCTCTTCTCTGGCTTCCAGCAACAAGCCTGCCCCTGGCATTTTTTGCTTGCATTATAAAACTTGGCTTAATGCCTGAACAGTGAATAACAGAGAAGAGACATGTAAGCAGAGTATTGTTGCAGTATGTTGTTTTCTAAGAGGATTGGAAGTTTAATACTAGCTTGCACCTTCATTTGAATTAATGACTAGGGATGTTAGCGTGTTATTTAATAGCTTGTGTGACCTCATCAAATTTTAAGGGTTACACAACTATTTTATAGTCCCTGGTGGGCGGGGCCAGCAGCTACTGCTGTCCCGGCTCCACTCCCAGCTAGCCCTATGCCACCCTGTGCTGCTGCCTCTGTGGGGCCACAGCAATCTCTGTCCATGGGGGGCTGGTATCTCACAGAACAGCCTGGGCCCTCAGCGGATAGAGGCTGCTCTGTGACAGCAGTCCGTGTCCGTGGGCGGCCTGAGCTCCCTGTGGACAGAGGCTGCGTGGCATCCTACAGAGCAGGCTTTGTGCACGGCGAGCCTCATTAGAAGCAGCAGCACAGGGGGTACCTGGAGCCAGTGTTCAAAGGCTCCTGCTTGCCCCCAATCACTGCCTCTGGTAGGCAGTGAGTGGGGGGGGGCTGTCCTCTTCATACAGTTGGGGGGCAGGTGCCTTCATGGGATCTGATGTATCATGGTGCAGGAGAGAATAGGGTTGCAGGGTCTGGCAGGGAAGTGGGCTGCAGGAGTGGGCTGGGGATCTGTGTGGGTATGCAGGGGTATTGGCAGAAGGAGGTGCATGAGGGGTATTGGAATGCAGGGTCTGTGCATGAGAGGGAAAGGGGTACTTACCTGGCTCCGTGCATTGCACTGCTCCCAGGCACTGCCCCTTGCTGCTCCCATTGTCTGTAATTCTGGCCAATGAGAGCAAAAGGGAAAGTCTCCAACTGAATGGTTTCCTTAGCTGCTGCTGCTGTTCCCTCCGCCACTGGGAGTAGAAGCAGCTGCGCACGAAGCTGCTTCCTTCCCCTGCAAGCTGGATCCAGCCTATGAGGCTTAGTCCCTTCCCCCCCACAGTGGGAAGCTGGAACTGGTGCTCCAACCTTGCGTGGGGGCTATGTGGCTGGAGCGCTAGTGCAGGCTCCCCATTAAAGGGGAGCCTCAAGCCCTTGGCCCACCAGCAAGACAGTTGTGGTCTGTGGTTGGAAACCACTGCTCTGGAGTATGTTGTTTGTCCCTCGTGCTGATTGTTAACCAGTGCGTTTCTTACACACATCTTTACTACATCAAGGCTTTGACACATCACTGTAGGAGAGAATACTATCCATTCATTCATTCTAACATTTGAACTGTCCCAAGCTTCATGGCAGAATGACTATCTAAAGTTACTTATGCTGATTTTATAATACTTGTGTATTAATATTCTAAAATGCAGCTAAGATGCTGTTTAGCATATTGCATTATTAGATCCTGCTGCTGTTTTCAACAGATAGTTTATTCTTGACAAGCTGCCTCCCTCTTGTACCAAGAATTAGCTTTGAGAAGTTCAGTTGTGTTTGGAGCCAGAGTTCAGGAGGCAAGTGAACCATTGGCCTTCACTGGCCTTCAAGCCAGATAGTCCTAGCAGCAGAGGAGAGATGGGTATGTCTCTTTTCATAAATCAGTGATATCACTTTTTGTCTACAGCAGTGTTTCTTAAACTGTGCTGCGAGGCAGTTGGAGGTGTGCTGTGGAGAACAGAGCTCAAAATGGCTGTCCTTAAAGGAGCAGGCAACCTTTTTTTTTCCTGCTCAATAACTTTCCCCTGACCCTTGTCTTTTCCCCATTTTAAAAAAAATTGCTTGGTATTCCTTGGTCTTAAAAAGTTTAAGAAACACTGGTCTACAGGAAAGAAAAGCCAATCAATATACTTTCCTAATCAGAGTAACTATATAACATGACATTTTTAAGTTTTGCTCCTTGTTTGGGTCAAATATGATGCTTAGTATTGATGTGTGGTTATTTTTTTTCTGCCTGGCATGTTTTAGTTCCTAAAAAGAGTTTAAGCTAAAGATGTGAAAGACTTTGGTTTATGTGCTGACTGTTTTACTAATCAATATTTAATGTGGTTTTCATAGGGTATATAACATGACACTGATACTCTGGACAGGTAACTTTAATTGTTTGAAAATATTACCTAATAAGGGGCATCCTGATAACTGCCAGTAATGAGCACCTTTGTTTTATGCTGTAGGATCATATTGCCAAGGATCTATTTTGTGAAGCCTATACCTTAGAAATGTAGCTTATATTGTAATTAAACATGTATTTTTTTTTTGGTTTTAAAAATCATTTTTAAAACTTTTAAAAATGCCATTTCCAGAGATACTGTCAACTTCATGTTTGAATTAGGTAATTGTTTAAACACATTTTCAATTTTAAATAGTATGTGTTGGTTTTAAAAAAACCTTAATGATCTTTTTTTTTAAACTTTGCTCCTCTACTAAAGGTTTTTATTATGGGCATGAAAGCAACAACTCTAAATGTACTTAAGCCAGTCCATTTTATTTTCTCTCTCTCTCCATGCACATGCTTGCCTGCTGCCCTTTCATTTTCAGCTTTGTTGCTGCTTTACTAGTAAACAGCTTAATGTAAAGGGTGTGGAAGAGTATGCATGTGAACTGTCTAAAGAGTAGTGTATGAATCTTGTGGTTGTGCTGGTGCATGAGAGAGTGCAAGTGATCATGAGTGAAAGTACAGGCAGTCCCCGGGTTACGTACAAGATAGGGACTGTAGGTTTGTTCTTAAGTTGAATCTGTATGTAAGTCGGAACTGGCATCCAGATTCAGCCGCTGCTGAAATTGATCAGTTTCAACAGCGGCTGAATCTGGACACCAGTTCCGACATACATACAGGTTCAACTTAAGAACCCCAGGCGTCCCCAAGTCAGCTGCTGCTGAAACTGATCAGCAGCTGATTCCAGGAAGCCCGGGGCAGAGCAACTCT